ATTTTCTTTATAATGGTAGATATTATATACATATATCTCCAGAGAAAAGTAATTTTGCACTGTAATGTATCTTAATGCCTTAATAGACATTTCATACGAATGGAAAAATCTAGAAACGTAGTATTTTAGTTATTGCCTACGTGGTATGTCTTACATACAATAAGCTAAATAAAGTATAAAACATTTTACAATAATTTTATTTATTATTATTTTCAATAAATGTAATAGTGTTAAAAAAATATTTTTTGATTATGTTCAACATATCAGAATGCAACATAGTCGTTCCATAATTTTTCTCATAAATTACAGTACTTACAATATAATATACCTACCTAATACCTACATTATATTATTTATATTACCATAATATCACATAATTTAAGCAAATATTTTGTTTGTAATTAATAATATAATATAATTCCTTATACTATATGAGGTTACTTTTATACACTGCTTATGAGTAAAAATATGACCAACGAATGTGCCTATATGACTATAAACAGATACACAGATCATTATATTAAATATATAATACATACTGTTTCATACTTATAATTGTACCTATATTACCTATTTACCTATATTTATTTTGTTTTTGCCAAGTGGAATAATTTTCTTCATCATAATTTTAAAAACTAAGACTTATTTATTAGTTATGTTACTAATTGTATTAAATTATGCTAAAATGATATTTATATAATTTGTTTTAAAGAATTGTTTCTTTAACCTAAAAAAAATATTTTATTTTAGATTCGGAGTGATAGTCTTAAATTAAGGCAGTAGGTACCTATTGACTATTGATCAATTCATAAGTTAGCTCTACATTATATGTCATCTTATTATTAGAGTTTCGACCTGTAGATTGTTGGATCCTTATAATATTACCATTAGCTGGTATAATAGACAGTCAAATTTTATTTTATAAACTAAATGATTAAACGATGACATACTAATTGCATAATAGTAACTTAAAACATTACCAACGCCCCAAGCCTGCCACAGCTGTTTTGCTAAATCACTTAGAACGTGGGACAGTGAAAAGAGCTTTTAAAAGTCTACGACATGACATAAAACGGAATCTAAGTTTTTTAGAAGCCAACGTTAAAAACGAATTCACTGGTAAACTTAATTGCATCTAAAAAAAAGCAATCATAAAGTCTTCAGAAACGCCCTTTCCTGTGGCTGTCATGTCGAAACGACATAACCTTTCATATTTTTTTTTACCTTTATGACATACAATGTTGTCCATTTTTTTCTCAGGGAGATCCGTCAAATACACATGTTTAAATCCTAGTTATTCAAGTATTATTAAAAAAAATTAATTATTTTATGACTAGGTACTAAATATATATGATATAAGTACAGTACGCATATAGGTATATCAGCACGTGATTCAAATTGATTAAAATGTTATTCGTTTGTACTATTATTATAATTTAAAAAATAATTTTAAATATTTATTGCAACTCAAATAACGATAAATTCAAGTGGATTATGAAAAATTAGTTTGGTTTTCATAAATGTTATCGATAAAATGAAATACAATTGAATTAACCTATAAGTAACTAATATTAGAGCATGTATTGTTATACGTAGTATTGATGTACTATTCTTGGCGTTATTATAAATATTTAAAATTGATGGATCACCGATTCAAATTATAGTTGACATTCGACTTTTCATAAAATTAATTTTGATAAAACCAACTTACTTGGAACCTTAATAAATAATAATATACTTGACTTAAAATGGGGTGCTTAGGCAAATGAATATTACGTAATTGACATTTATACACAATATTGACATTACACATCATTCGTAACTTGTACTGCGGCAGGAGCTTAGAATTCAGATATTATAACCTAAATATAGTAGTCTGTCAAGCAAATACTATTTTTTTCTTGAAAAGAATTCTTATAACATGCATTGAATAATATATTAAAAATCAATCATTGAGAAAATATTAAAGCCAAAACGAATGCATTATACAATAATATAATTCTGGTGCATTAGTCAATTATAGGTACATATATTATTTAAATATAATAAAATATATGCAAATAATAATGAAAAAAAAAAGTTTATAGATTCTCGACATTTTCAGTTATGTTTGACTATATTTTACTAAAATGTATTCTATAGTTAAAAAATATATATTTATCACGAAATATAAATAGAACTACATGCGATGTATATTATGTTTTGAATGATATTTCAAATATTTTTTATCTCTCTATGCATATTATTCATGAATATTTTTTAAAATATAAATACGAAGTTACATGGCACATTAATAAGTTTCAAAAGAAATTCATCAGAAAATCAGTACACCGAGTATACATTTTTATTTAGCACTAAAAATATATTTTGCTTTCCCAAATATTCGTCGAACAAATTATCAAGTGATTTCAAACATTATAATATTAAATACCTAAAACAATTATCAGGTTTATTTATTTGAATTTATAGTAAATTTGAGTTATACGTATATAGATAAAATGTAATATATATTATTATGTTTATCAATAAAGATAATATTGCAGGTTATTGTTTTCGATGTATGTTGATAACATTGTTTGTTCTTCGGCCAATAAGTTAGAAAATTTAATATAGAAGGTTCCTCAATAGTTTTTCTTACATTAGTTAGAACAAAGTTTCTGATGACATGATAATGCAGTTAATATTATATTATAATAGAAAAGTAAGCTATAGCTTATACCCAGAATTTAGCTAAATAATTGACAAATATTTTTACGTATACAGATAGTTTGCTGTGCCTGTAACCTGTTGACCTAAAGTAACAAAATTGACTTTGGTTTTTTTTTGTAATTTGATTTTAAAACTTTAATTTCTATTAAGGGGCTATTAAAAATTATCTTTTTAACTTTTCCCGAGTACGACATTTTGGATCATTTAATAATTTTGAAACTTGTACTTATTTGTGGAGTATCATTAAATATAATAAAATGTTGAAGGAACAAACGAATAAAATGCAAAAAAACTTAAAATCAAAGACTTTAACAAAAAAAAAAAAAAGTTGAAATGAATATTTTAAACACTTCAATCGGATGAACTGCGTCGGTTAGAAATCTTAAAATCAGAATATTAAAATTCAGCTACATCAGAAAAGTATGTTGTTTTCAATAAATGTCACATATGTGCTTGGATTTTTTTTTTAATAAAAATGTATTCAAACGTATAATGCTAGTCATTTTGACAGACGCCGATACCCAGTATTAGTGGATATTTAATAAAAAATCATTTTTAAAGTAAAATATTCGAAGAAAACTAAACTTGTCACTAATAATAATATAAAATAATATAATATAATATTATTATATTGATATTATGACGAGATCGTATCGATTATATAAAATAAATTTAATATTATAAAGTAGTACAATAGATAAATATTATGATTTTTATGTAGTAATGTCAAATATGTTGTATTGTCTTATTTTATTTTCTATTTTGAACATTATTGTTTTTAATATCTATATACTAAAAACGTATAAATAATTATCAGAAGACTTCCAATGTGAAAATAAAACGATGAAAAAATGTCTGTAATTTAATTTCATCTCTAAATGACTCCCTCGAAGACCGGTACTTTTATTATTACTTAGTCCTTACTAAGGAAGGTATTAGGACTTTTCGCCTCTTTTATATAACCCCCGAGACATATCGTCTCCGACTTGTGCGGTTATTTTCGTACAGTCAGCAGATTTTATATACTACTGAGAATCAATGATACTCAATACACACACATATACACTATGTTAAAATACATGATATAAAATTATTAGAAAAATGTGTAGAAAAATTTTCTTTTTGGAAAATAAGAAAAAGTTAAATAAAATTGCAAATCAGCTCCGTTCGATAGATCACACGTATGTAAATAATACATAATATTGGATGCTAAAGTTTTCATTATCAGACGCAATTTACATATTCTTTCAGACCGTTTCATACATATATATTATATTACCTATATACTGTTAATTTCGATTTAAAGGACAATGCGCTCGTGTGTGTGTGTGTGTGTGTGTCTATTTATATATTTTTGAAACACGAATGAATACTAAAGTGCAAAATTTTTAATTACGACGTAAAAAATAAAAAGTGTCAGTTGAAAACAATTGAGAGAATATTGTATACATCATATATATGTAACTATTTATAATTAAAACAAAAAAAATTATTAAATATGAAAATACACTACATATTGTGCAGATTGTCACGCTCCAAATGAAAATTTGCTATACCTATAGTCCAACTGTTTTGAACAATTTATAAAACTACAATTAGAAAAAAAATTATCCATGTGTATCGTTTTTGTAAAAATTCTTTAATGATTACCAAGAAAAAAAATCAATGCAATAGTTTTAATGTTTTCATAAACCATAATATTTAAAATTTTTTGTTTACATATACCTACGAATGATTACAGTGCTAACCTAATGAATGCTGACAGATTTTCAACTAAAATGCTTGAAGTGGTAATGAAATTATGTAATTGTTGGTGGTGTTTTAAATTGTTTTCTCAAAGTCGCATAATAGGATTCAATTTCTTCATACAATATACATACTTCTTATTTATCCACAAATAATCTATGTATATTGTATATAATATATTGTAGGGTTTGAGAATTAGTTTGTGTGTTCGCTGTTTGTTTTTTTTTTTACTACGAATTTCGTTAGGACCCTAATGGCAAATGTTGTAAATTAGTTATGTTGTAAATGTTTTCGTGTGTGCGTTAGTCACTAAATTGTGAAGTTTTACGCAAGCTAATAATAATATTCACAACACGTATGATTGCGTGTGGTAACGAACAATAAATTACCAGCATATTATATAGAAATATATTTTTTGATTTATAATATCAAGGGTCGAGGAATAGTCCAAATTGAAACGATATTGTAAATTTTTCGATTTATATAAATAAATAATTATCGGGTTCTATATTATTAAAAATTTCAACATATTAAAATATACGTACCATCCAAAATAGCGTCTCGTTCGCAAACCCGGAATACTCGTCGATCGTCGATAGTACGCTGAAAATCAGGCACACCAAAACGACCATGAACCTGCGAAGAACAAAACAACTCGTTAGTTTTCATACTATTATATGCATACTGCGATCTCGATACGTGGATAGGAATCGAGTAGTTATATAGCTTTTATTTTCCTCAGAACATAAAATTTTTGCTCTTAAAAAGTATACACAAAACATGTCTATGGAAAAAATATTATTAATATCTTTGCAGGACGAAATGTACGACGACTTGGGATATAATAGTATGTTGCAAGTATATTATTATAACTTGCACATATCAATAAGTACGTGCATTTATCGGACTGATTCGTCGAGCAGATGATTCGATTCATATTTTTTACGTAGGCTCTGCGCATTCGATTACCTACGAACGCTGTAATATTATTACACGAATATTATAATAATCCGGTCGATTTCGGCACGAAATTTTAAAACAAACAAACCCGTGGTTCTGATTTTTGTGCATAACGAGTTTTTAAGTAAACACTTTACGCGGGCGGCGATTATATTAAAATAGAGTTTATTTTTGATCGTGTTTGTTTGCAGGTTGTTGTCGCAAAACGCTGATTGAAAATCATAATGGTGGTATATACACTTTAACGGTGGTGAGGTTAACTTTAACGTGATTTTCACAGTTTATCATTGTGTTTGATTACAAGCTATTCGCGTGTTGCGTCATCGGAAAATAAAAATTGTCGACATAATTGTATTAATATTATAATATTATCGGTAGGTATTTATATGTGAACACTTCGTTTGTACTATATAAGTACTATAAACGGGCAACGGCTAAAGCGTTTACGTAAAATCTCACCCCCACCCCTCTTCAAGTTGTGATTTTCAGTTTTTTTTTTATATAAAAATATATATTTTCATGCTAACTTTGGTAATTTGCATGATTTGATTTAAGCGTAAAATCAAAAACAAAGGGGACGGCCGTAGACAAGTCTTGTCCCTTCACACATAAAAAATACATCCAATCAAAAACAAACACAAAATTCGTGGACACCAGAAACAAAAATATTTAAAAAGAATGTAAATTTGTTTGTGGCAAGTTTGCAATCGATTTTTTTCCTGTATAAAATTGTATTAATATACAAATAAAAAGAAGCTTTTATAATATAGAAATATCATACAAATGAAATGCGTACAAACAAGATAGCCTTAACAGTTAAATAAAAACATAAACTAACAATTATGATATAACAGTTAAATTGAATTATATAGTTCTTTTTTAATAATAATGTGTGAATTTTGATTGACATTGGAAGTTTTATTCATACAAAAATGTTTGTGTGTGTGTGTGTAGACTGCGTTAGTATTTTACTAAATCATCTCGTTAACAGGAAGAATGTGCAGCACACGTCTTCTCTCTCACTATCTCTATTTATTTATTTATATATATTATATTGTGACAAATGACTAAAAATGTCAAGAGTTCACCAGTATGGAATTTAACAAAGTCTGACGCGCGTTCCAACCTCACTACGATAAAATGTCTACCTCGAACGAGTAGATCACCGTCCGCCGTCGACGTCCTTAGAAAATTTGTCACCCACATTTCGGGCTGGTGTATTATATTATTATTTCAGAGGGCCAACGAGCGTGGTCGGCGTGGTTCGGCGAAATCATCACTGCCTAAATTTGCATAAACGTATCCACCCAAAGAGCACCAGATACGTTTGACGATGATGTATATAATATTATTATCGTGACCATAGTGTCATATTATATTATCATATCCCGGTATAAATACGTCACAATATTATCATCTGCCGCACCGCTAGTCGACACCACAGAGAGCATTCGATTATGAAGCGTGGCAATAGGCGGAGATTTAGTTAAATTGGAGGAGACGGGAGAGGCTTAATTTGTTTTGAACAAAGCTTAGGTAACAACCATAGATTAGGCAAACAAATTCGCATAACCACTCTACCAACTCCCATACATTTTTAAATATTTTGTGTCGTTTATCATAAATATTACTAATACATCGTCCAATATAAAACAGTATATTATCACTTCCAATTAATAATAGTAAAAATTAAGATCTAATAGGCAGCAAAAAGTCGAAAATATGTGTGTAACATTTTGACTTCTATTGAATATAATTAATAAATTTAATATTTTTATTTATTTTTGGGATTAAGCCGATTAGAATAGTACCTATTTAAACAGGCGATGTATAGTTAGTATATAGTGTTACAATGTACTTGGTGATTAAGTAACTGTAATAACTATAAAATAATATGTGATAAATTTGAATTCATTGATTAGGATGAAAAATGATTTTGAACCGAGACTGTCTGTTAGTTTATGTTTCCAAGGATATGTTATTATATTATATTTACATTGCTATTGGGGTATTGCGGTAAATCATTTTTATATGAATAATAAATATTTAGAAAATGTAATTGTGTTAAGTAGATAATAATCCACATAATAGTACAAATCTATGATAGTAAAAAATTAATTTGATAATCAAAGAATATTTTTTGAACATTAAAAAATATCTAAAATTGTTATTTTTTATTTAAATATCCTATTTTGTAAAAAATCAAATGTAATCGTGTAAAATAAAATTGTGCATAGTGTGTTTATTGAAGATAATATTTAAGTCCCCGTAAAAGAAATTATGAGAAACCACGTACTAAAGTTTTAAGCCTGGAAAGCTATTCAAATTTAAAATTTTATACATTTTTAACTAAAAAATAATTTGAATATTTTTTGAATTTTGACAAATTTTGTCAATATTTGAACTTCAAACACTTATAAAAAAATAAGACAATGTATTTCAAACTTTTTGCCCTTGTATACAATTTTTTTTTACAATTAATGTGTATTTTATATACATTTTATAGAAAAAATGGGTGAAAGTAGATGTCGAGTGTACCTTGTCATTAAGTAATAGTCACTGTAAAGTAGGAATGTGTTAAGGCCCTGCGAGCGACCTGTTTTTTTGCTCAAAAACATGCCTTACAGGAAAAACTCTCACTCCTCGTAGATTGGTCCGATTTCCGTAATTTTTTTTTTGTTAAATAGAGTAAGACTTATTGCAGGGTACATTGGACTTAGATTTTCAAAATTATTTTTCGAAATCTTATATTACAAGTTTGAATTTAATCAATTTTTACAACTTTTTAGTTTTTGTATTATTATTTGTTTTTGGCAACGTAATCAAAAATCGAATTCCAATGCGCCCAGTAAAAAATATTCTTCTATCTAATAAAAAAAAAAAATTACGGAAATCAGACCTATCTACGAGGTAGTTTTTCCTGTAAAGTGTGTTTTGATCTATATAATACGCCCTATCAACCCCCCCCCTAAATAGGTATTGGGTAGTAGATTAGTGGAAAAGTCTTATAATTGAGGTGGCAACTAAAATATAAAATTTAATTTTCAAATTGTATAGAATATTTGAAAAGTCGCGACCAGGACCCTTAAGTTTGAATTCAACCGTAAATCAATAAATAATTACGGACGAAAAACGATTCAGAGTCAAGATGGACTAGCTATCAGCCTATATTATTACTTAGTAATAGGTAAGTAACAGGTCTAAATTAATTTTTGATGAAAACATTGCATTTGACAATGTCACTGTTTGTAATATAATAATATACGTTAAGAGTTTCAAGTACACACGAATAATATTTTTTAATTACAAAAATATTACTAAACTCGATATTATTCGTTTAAATACCTACATAGTTTGTCCGAATTTGAAGTTAATGTTAATTTGTCTAACAAATAAAACAACAGTTATTTATTTTAAGTTTTATCGTTTACAATATGAACTATTGAACAACTTATAAAAAACCTTTTATTAAATGTTCAATCCTTAACTACATAAATGGAAAATTTTTCACATTTTTAACTACAATATAATTTGCAATATTTTTTGAATTAGGAAAAAATAACAAAAATTATTTGTGGATAAATCGTCAAACGTAAAAATAGGAAATTGTTTAGCGGATTATATTGGCAATAAGCCCCATTCCAAAAACTGACAAAAAAAATTTGAAACGCTTCCGGATCTATTTTGATTATTATTGTAATGTGGTATACTGCAGGTACCATTGTATAGACATTTATTCATTATTTTGTTTTAGTCATTATATTCCTTTGAATTCACTCAGATAAGATTGTAAATATGATTTGTAATATACTAATATACACTTCGACTAACTGAACTGCTAGTTACTACCCCATATAAATACATAAAGTTACATTATATTATGATATGATCTGCAACTTGTAAGCTTTAAACACATATATTATATAATATGATAATGTCGAAAAATTAACAATCATTGCCATAAAGACGAGACTGGTTTTATTATTGTTGATGATTATTCAAATTAAGTAAGTTTGAAAACAAATTTACTTCAAAACATTTTAGGTTGAGAAGTTATAGGAATGTTGGTTCACTTTGTAGTTTCATAACAATAAACCACTGCGAAAAATACCAAAACAAGTTCGAATTTCTTATATTGTAAAACTAACGGATATAATTTTCTAAAAAGAATTTTAAAGTATAATAAAATTCATTCTGATTAAAAAAATTAGAAAAATAAAACTGATGAAATTCTTTTTAGAAATGATCAAGCTGCACATTAGTAAATAGTAAAAATATATTTATTTTTAACTTCAAATTAAAGATAGGGTGAGTTGCAATTTTCACTCATAGTCCTAGACCGTAGTCAATACTCTGATACTGATAGTTAGGTAGCTGTATCACATATTATTGTACACAGTGTTTTTTTTTAATAATGATGTAAAATGAATAATTTGAACTTTATAAAATAAAAATATTGTAGCTACCTATTGATAGGAGATTCAGTGTTAAGAGTCTTTTGAAGAGTGTATTTTTTAAAAATGTACAGTAGTATTATTTTATGAGTTAAAATGTGCCAATGTGCAATAAAAATAAAAAAAACACTAAATATTGTGAAAAAATTGTTAACATTAATAATTACATCAACGCTTTTTACTAACAAAATCAATTTTGTTATTTTTTTGCAATTAAAAATTTAATAACATTATTATTATTGTTTTTAATAGATTATTATATAAAATACATGTCAAGGAGAATTTTAAATCTATTAATGTAAATAATAATAATGATATTAATCTATTATAATCATCTTACATATAAAGCACTCCAGAAAATAAACCACGATGTATCACATTTATAATAAATTATACGCTGCTGTGAGAAAATCATGTCGTGAAATCAGTATCATTTGTTACACGGCGTATCGAATAGGCAATATAGGTCCATTGTCGTGTAGAACATCTAAAATGGCCAATATCAACTATAATAATATTATTATTGATAAAATATTTTATAATCTTTTTGTGGTATTTCATACAATACATACTATTATATATCTTTTTTTATTTATTCTTTAAGAAGATAATGGTATAATAGTGTAATACAATATAATATATTTTATAAGTTATACATTTTTTTTTAAACATGTCTATATGTTATCTTTGATTATTTTTCAAAAACATACATTTTTGGATTACTGAGGTGTCGGAAAATTGGAATTCGTAAAAGTGGGCTGAACCGTGAAATGTTTTGGTGCATTCGAAATGATGTGAATGTATACTTATTATATAATAAACATACACAGTTTGATAGAATATATTATATTTTTAGTTGAAAAATCAATGTAATTCTCAAAGATCGTTTACGTCAACATTGATAGAAGCAACGACAACGTTATTTAAACCTAAAATTTAAACGAAAATAGACTTACATTTGTAATAATATTATGATGTATTATAATATAAACACTGTTGTGTCAGATATTACTGGACGCAGTTCAACGAAAACTACCGTACATGCCTATTTATTTACATTAAAATTGTAATATATCATAAATAAATATTACGAATACAATAAATAACACAAATAAAGATAATTTGTTTTTTTATGACGAGCATAGGTATAATATTATAATCTATTTGTCTTGAGATCTTTTGATATTTTTTACACACTCGACTTGATACTTTTATTTGATATGGGTATATCGCAGAATGTCACGGGGGTTAAAAAAAGAATAAAAAATAAATCCTCATCCACCAAGGACGCAGGAACTTGCAGGTATTAATATCGTCGGCCGAATCCTTTTCATTCGCATTTCTCCCGTTATCCATTAGCGCAGCACTGCAGAAGTGGTGGTGGTGCATATAATATACCGACGGCGGCGGCTCCGGATAGACGTGGGACATAATACGCGCAGGACAAAGTCGGGTCGAAATTAATTACATCTGTGCAAACGTATACATTATTTAGTTTTTTTCATTTACAAATCGTTATTGCTTTCCATTTTTCATTCGTCATGTCCGGTAATATTTCAATCCCGTGAAAATAATAATATGACAACGCGCGTTTGCGCCACTAGATTATAATATACATATAATAGTTACTCCTCCGTTTGTACCTATATATGTACATAATAATATAATAATTTATACCCACATTAGTATTATGTATTATTTTTAAAGGCGGACGGGCGGACATTTCAAATAAAATAAGAGAATACAAGGTTAACATTTTCGGTAGTGTTGTTTTTTATCATAATTATTAAATGTTTTCCCAACTGTTGATAAAACATATGGAATATCCATTAGTACGCACACACACATTTATATGTATACTATATAATATATTGTAATGTCGTCCTGATCGATATAATATTTTGTGTGCGTGTAATATATGTATATACACTATATTATGTAATAAGAGGTTGCTAAAAATCATGCGGAACGTCACTGCGTATATAAGCTTTTACGGAAACGCGTTTTATATTTTTCGTACGTAGTTGGGTACCTCTATACACCGTGCGTATACTCTTATATTATATATATATAGTTAGCTGACAAGTGTTTTCTCACCAACACGCGACGACGACAAAAAACGTAGGCGGGGAAGGAGATTTGATTTGTTTTGTTTCATTTCTTACTCGAAACTCACCGCGCCGTAATAAATAAATCGCACAACACCGTTCCTCCGGCTACAGTCGTTTTCGCTTTAATGTTTTCCCACGAGTAACGCAAATCCGTCTGAGGAATATCGAACTCTTGGATTTTTATTCACAAAATGCGATATATACATATATATATATGTGTGTAATACACACACGCGTGACACACATACAGGGTGATGCAAGCGTCGAATGTTATAGAGAAAACTATTAGGTTTTCATATAATGTACTGCAGGAAAAGTACGATTTTCGTCATACTGTGTAATTTTAATTTATTTCCACGTCTCGATATAATATATTATATGAATTGATACACTAATTTATATAACTCGTAACAAATCACATCGTTTGTGTGGGTTTGTTCGTAACCATATTATAATATGATTCTTATATGTATTATATTATACGATTCGAGGTGAATAGTATATGAACCGAGACGCAAAAATGTCGGCGATTGATTTCACTATATGCGGCTTTCTCTCCCTTACTCTCTCTCTCTCTCTCTCACTCTCTCTCTCTCGCTCTAGACCTCGTTCCGGTTTTCCACTGAGCGTTATAATACCGACTATGATCATTAACTAAAATAATATATATTATATAATATTATATACCAGATCGGTGGTAATCTAATGATGTTCGTCGCCACCCCTCGAACGGTAATTTAATATCTGTGAAATGCATAAATACAAGCGCAATATACTGCACACATACTATTATTACATACTGTGCAGTCGGTGCTACTATACCACCCATAAGCGTGGCGTCGGCATCTGCAGTTCCCTCCTCAGAGCGATGTATCATATTTAATTGACGTTGTACGTCTCGACGTTGAGCGTTATTTTACAAAAATTTAAAAAAAAAATTCCCTCTAGATAACCTCGATTACAATAATAATATATACGTAGGTACCGAATATTGTAATACGTCAATACGTATATTATTTGAATTCTAAGCGATTAAATATTGTGAAGAGCTTTTTGGCAAATGTTCGAACTTTTAACTAAATTACGTCACATGTAGATATAGGTACGTGTTATTATAATATTGTATATGTACTAAGATTCCCCAATCAATCAGTCCAACGGAAAAAGTTTTTACCTTGTTATTCGAATTTAGACCACAGGTGTTACGGCACGCACATTTAAATATATTCATCTTATAGATCCCTCAAACAAATTGAACGCATTGGACGTATAGGCTCGTAGCGTCGACCGATTACATTAGTGTTGGTTTTTTGCTATGCAATTAATAGTATGTTTAAATTATTTTTACTATAATATAGATATAGGTATAGAATCAACATTTTATGTTTACTAAGAGTTTAATATAATATCATAATTATAAATTATAAAAATATGATTCGTAATAATATAATAAATTATATTATTCTCCGATAGGTAACAAAATATGGATCACAAATGATCTGAATTTTTAAACTTTCTAATATTTATGGTTGCTAGTGCCTTTTACCGTTTTACTTATATTAAAACCATACAAGTTAAATCAATACCCCAGTATACAAATAATAATAATGCAAATGTTGACAATACTAGCTTAAAATTATAAAACAATATAGAATAATAATAATAATAAGTTGTTTCAAAAAATAAAACTCAACAGTCACTTATCTTACCTATATAAGTACCTATATCATACCATGTATACTTACGAATAAAAAGTATTATTTATTAACAAATATATTATTTAAAATTTAAAAAAAAAATTGTTTGACATCAATAGATTTATTTTTTATTTTTTTATACAATTACATACATAATGTTTAAATACATATAATTGAATAAAAATTATCTACCTTCCGTAAGCATAGCTTGTGTTTAAAATAGAGAGTTAACTATTTTTATAATATATGTAAATTTACAATTTAATTATAGGTGATATTATATATTAAATACTAATTATGAACAATACAATACAGTACATTTTAGATAAGATTTGAAAAAGAGAAAAGAATTTTCATTTACAGATACAATAATAATTATCGATCTAGAGACATATACAACCATTTTATAACTAATGTTATTGGCATTAGAATATTTATAGACTATTTTTTTTTTTTTGAAGATTTGAATCTTAAAACTAAAAAGACAACCTATACTATATTAAAGCAAAATACTGATCAGATCACAAGAAAATAAACTGTCTTTAATTATTTTTCTTTTATCATCATTTAAGGAAAATGTATTCAGTGAAATTCAATGAAAATGTATACCAAACGTTATACTTACACTGAATTTAATTTTGTTTTAAATGAATAAACATGAGGGTACCGTCCGTTCATATAACCAGTAAATTAAGTACTTATGTGTTTAGAAATTCATTTTAACAACTAACACTTGAGACACTTGTTTGCTTAATTATTATTTGTCCGAATCACTCAATGTTCAGATTTAATTTTGAACGTCCATTTAAAGTCAAACGTGTTTGAACTATAAACGAATAGATAACATTTACAATTCCTAATTATAGTCTCTCAAACAAATTTTGTGATATTGTGAACTTTTAGCATGTCTGATCCATCAATAATGAACACACCGAGATGCGTTTAGTATATTAACGTTAAGAACAAATAAATAAACACTAAACTTCTACATACGATTTCCCCAAAATATATGGTACATTAAAAAAATAAGAGCCAGCGGTCACATAAATATTTAATTATTTTTCCTTGGTTTAATTAGTCTCACTAAATAAAATCAATAATCCACGAAAAAAAATTCAAATAATTAATAGGGTTTATTTTATTTTCAGTGCATATAATATACATTTTCTTTTAATAAAAGGCGTTTAGCTATTCTAATTTTTAGTTATTAAACATTTATTTTATTTATTTATTTTTATTTATAAATACTAATTTGCCATTGCCTATTATATATTCATATGCATTAATTTTTTCTTAAATTACACACATTTAAATACGTGTTCTGGCATTGTTATTATTATTGTTTATTTTTTTTTTAATTAAAATTTTGTTTCACCATCAAGGGGCATTGGCTTCATACATTATATTTTACTTATTTCTGATAACTATTCATTATTATTATTATTATTATATCAATATATTCCGACCGGTATTATCATTACCTATTATTTTTACCGGTTTTATTATTATTATTATTATTATCATATTTCAGCTGGTGCCTATAGTCTTACTAATAGTATAGTTATTTTTAATAGCTGATACTATTTTTGTGTTATAACTATTATTATTACAATACTACTTGTGATTACTAACGACGATGGCACTTTTGGTTTAGCTGTTTCAGAAACAGAACATGGTACTTGCAGCCAAAAATCTCTTACTGAACAAGGGACTAAAACTTTTATATTTTAGTTTCGTAAGAGCGTATAGACCAACTACAAAGCAACTATAGTCTTTCATTTAAGTCAAAGTAAGACACCACCAGGCAGATTTGCGCTATTATGGGAATGAGCCGACTGATGTTTTGATGGTAGCTCGTATCCAGTGTTCCTTTTTTTCTCCATTATATGAAGTGTAATTATAGCGTTCTTATTCTTATACAGATATATCACATCTATTATACTACACATGTGTGTATATTTAAATTAGAATGATAAAATTAGATGTTATCTTATTAGTTATTTCTGTTTTTTATGTCCCATAATTCCTATTCTACAGCCAAAAGTCAAAACTCTAAGAATTTACGAGTTCCGCTGCTGAACACTAAACTATATCAACCCCTACGTATTTAGACTGCAATCAAAATATATTTAAATGTCTCGAATCGGAAGTAGTATTTTCGTTTAATATCAACCGAAAATACTTTAAAATAAGTAATAAGTAGTATAATAGAAAGGATAAAGGATTATGGATTATAACTGATACAACCTGCATACCGTAAGTAACAGCTATACCGTGAACTTACCCGCGGTTTTTCGGTTTACCAACTTTAACAGTACAAAGGTTATTCTAATGAATATTTACGTTTGAATAGTTTTATACATTATATACATGTTACATTTTAAATATTTTAATAGACTTGTATTTATTAAATGGGTCTGAAAATTAATTTCCATGAATTGAAATAGGTACGTTTAAAGAATTGCTTTTTTTTTGGGCGGTCGGAATAAATCGGGAAAATTAAATTCTCTAAATCAATCTTAGGTAGTTGCATATCTCCTAGGTAATTGCTATATATTCAGTAATAGCATGCCTTAATAATTTATGTTTTATAATTTTTAATTCAGTTATTTCAATCTTTACCAGGGCCGTTCTTAGGGGGGTTGGGAAACAGGGTTCAGGCCCTGGGAATCGCGCTTTTTGCTTACATTTTGAGGCCTCGCGTTTGAAAAAAGTGGTAAAATTGGTTTAAAAACAAATACTGAGGACGGTCCAGATCTTTACACAGTAACGTTAGTGACTGTAACATTTAGATTCGCATCGATATATGAAATCAAACACATTTTAGTATATAACCATGATGTTCCGTTTAAATAAATATTGGATAAAATTATATTCTGAAATTAAATATAATATATTTTAAGTACTTATTACGGTTTGAGAAAAAAATATTTAACGAGAATAAAATATTAAAACAAAGGATCAAATTTATTTTCCAAGAACTTCAAATGTTTTAAAATTATTTACTGTACAATTATTATAAAAAACATTTAAGGATTTTTAAAAAACAAAATAAGTTCATTAATTATAAGATGTAAATGAGTATTTAAAAATTTAACTATTATTTCTTCATTCTATCTATGTACTTTGTTGATACTTGATGGTCCGGTTGTTTTGTTTATACATAAGTAACTCAAACGTGTGCGCTGCCCGATGAAATGTAAATATATTTTATTAAACTTGTAACGTCACCGAAAAAAAATCCAATATTAACTAATGTCATTCCATGTTCATTCAAACTTTAAACTTGACAATACTATAGTAATAATTAAGTATTAATATAATATTATATATTGAAATAATATAGAAACTTAGGAGCTTTTATTATATAATTATATATTTTTAGTTATTACTACTATTATAAAACAATACTATTGCATCTAACATTGTTTTGGGTGTCGGACGTTATTATACCTACCGTTATTGTTATTATTATTGTTTTCGAGTTCTCACACAATACGATTTACGTACACAAAATTCTCGTCACTATATAAATCACCGTAGACCGTAATCATGATTAGCTCTTTTATATTGTCATCCAAATTTGTTCTTACCGTGGTTAAATGTAGTACCTGCTCTGAGTCTTTTACGCATATTTTACACTGCAGTTAGATCAATAGATTCTACCAAAGTAATAAATTATAGATCACTTGTCGTTTTATGAGAAAAATCACTATACTCGTATAATACATTTATGTACCTACCTTTAAATAGATGTATCATCTTGCCGCAACAACGTAATGCTACCGGTAACGAGTGACATATATACCTATTAAAGGTTAGATCATATTATATATATTATATACAGTATACACACAATGTCTGTTTATAAAAAAGCGTGTTATTTATTTTTTTCTCAAATATTAATCACTTCGATACTATTTTATAGCAGCCTTATAATATTATAATATTCATCAATCTTCATTCGAACGATTTGTTCCCATTTTGTTCCACTCGCATCGTACGTAAAATATCGTCGAACACATATTATTCTTCTCTTCTTAATAATAATAATAATAATAATAACAGTTTCCTTTTCATCTAGTACAGTGTTTTTCTTTATCGCGTCGGTGGCGGACGACTCCTCTATTACTATATATCAGATACCTCTATTATCTATTTTACCCGAGAGCATAATATA